GGTCGTAGAAACAATGAATATGAATCGACCCATATATTTTCATGCAGTATATTGTGTGATCGTCCATTCTTTGCATTTCATATGAATATACTAGCATACTTTAAAGCTTGTATTGTGGCTGTACAGTTTATGTATATTTTAGCATTGCTTGGACAGCAATCCATAAAACTTGTATTTACCAAAAATATTTTTTCTTACTGCACATATGCACAGTCATGCAGTTGCTGAGCATGTTGTCACCATCTATGATAGTTTACTTTTTTATATACTGGCTGTCACTCAAAATGCCAATTATTTGTGGTTTTGTGTGTGCTTGGTTTTTCCTACTGTATGCTGAAATAGTGTTTTTTATTGGTTTTGATCCAGTGGGTTTTCTGGCTAAATGCACCATTGATTTAAGAGGAGTTGATGGGGGTTGTGGTTTGCATGCCTCACATTCCTCCCTAAAACATATTACTGCTTCAGGCCTTGCTGCCGAGGTGATACAGGTTTTGCTAGATACAAATAAAAGTATTTGGATAAAGTGGGACCTTCCTGTATGCTCTTCATCTCATCGTATCTTCCTGCTTTTTGGGGTGCCCTGATATGCTGAGGTAAGTGTTGGATTAGGTTTTGCTTACAGGTATCTGTCGGCTCTCACCCTCTAATAGCACAATGTGACTAACACCGTTCCCCTTTCCTTTCCCCAGCTGGATTGCCAAGGTAATATGTTATATTCAAGTGAACTGCACTAGGCTCGGTTTGGCAGTGCTGGCATGCATTGTGCCCAGTGGGCCCTTTGTAAATAAAATGTTATTACACGCCTGGATATTTCATGCCCTGCGTGAACATAGGGCTCAGTGGTGCCATACTTCCAAGAGATCACACGCAGATGTTAATCAGAGATTAACACACACTCAGCACAGGACTCAATCAGACTCTCAATTGCCATGCTTCCTAAAACACTGATTAAGAGAGGAGCCTACCATGCAGAGCTCTTCTGTAGGTTTTTATGCAAAGATCTTTGCTGCTTATAATTATTTTTCTAATTAGTGGGTAGGAGTATGATGCAGTGAGTTATGCGCTGTATTGATGCAGCTGGAATGTTCCGGGGCAAATTTTGTGTGTTTAATTTTATCCACTTGTTTAATTATAGAGGCATGTGAAAGGAAGCTTTCACTATTCTGTTAGCCATTTTCAAAGAAATACATCATCAGATTAAAACCTTTATCTGTACAAGTCTGGTGGTTATAGTTCCTCATTACTTGACTTGATAGTCAATGTCTCCAGAAAAGGAGGAATGCAGACAGTATTACAAGTTTTTGTACTTTCACCAAGTAGTCATGGCAAGACAGGACATCCAGATGTGGGCTGCAAAGCCCTCCAGATCGCTCTTGGTTTGGGGAAGTTTGCCGTGACTGATTTAATCTAGCTGAACCTAGCCAATAGATAAACAACAAAATATTTTACTTTTGATAACATTTAAGTTCAGGTGTCCTTTGGGGAATTAGGTATAGTGCATATAGTGTTTAGAGTTCAATCTCAATGTGTGCTTGTAAGCCAGTGTATATTTGGAGATCCCATGGTAGCAGTGATGAATTTGGGAGATAGTGCTTACAGCCTGTGCCTGCTAGACTGAGCCCTATGATCCAGAGGGGAAGAAACACAGCCCATGGCTAAACAAATCCTCCTTTGTTTTGGGGTGTGCTGAGTGATCTCCATTGAGAGGAGGGGATGGGTAAACAGTGCTAGCTCTATAGAGCTACACATTGTAAACACACAGCGCTCATTAACTATAATGAGATGTTATGAGGAACCCTTGAGCTCATTGTGTGGCTTCTACAGAAGAACCTGCCTGCTATTGTTGTTGTTTTTGTTTATGCAAAGCAAATCATGGCTTTAGGTAGAAGAATAAAAAAAACACTGCACATTCCTCACACAGTTTTCACCCACTAATCATCAACGGCAAGGGAGATGGTTTAGAAACATTTTTTTCTTACCTTCCATGCCCCATGTTTGCCCTACCTTTCAAGTGATGTTTTCTGCTTTTGTGCCGGTCTGGATGTTTAAATCAAGTGTTAGCAAATGTTTCCTTGGCCTTCCAAGAGGTGGTACTCCCACTTACTTGGTGTGGTCTTATATAGCTCTGTAACTAACAGCATCTTCTCCTTTCTATAAAGCTTGTGTTTTAATTAAATTGGCACTAGACTCACTCTAGGTTAGTATGACCTTTCTCTTGGTTTCACCCACATTGCCATTCCAGACCTGCCCACTTATCTACTCCCTTAAAAACTGAAGACCTAGTTTGCCATGTGGATGTGTGCTTACAGCGCTACCAAATTGTCTTCATGTGTCATTAAAGCAACCAACCTCCGTGCAGCACTGCTCGAGCCTACTTACTTTCGAGCCTAATTACAAATGTGCCAGTGGTTGCTGGCAAAAGTAGCGGGGAGGGTTGGAGTCTAACATGCATGGCTAGCATAGTCTCTTTGACGACAATGAGTGGCTTCACCTTGGCTGTTAATTGCCCCCCACCCGGGTCCCTGGTTCCCAGTTGCTGGTTCTTCTCTTTCCTTTTCTTCCCTTTTCGTTTCCCCGCTGATTGGGAGCGATCTGAATCGGCTGACAGTTGGCTGAGATTTCTCAGCCACATGCAGCCTGACACCCCTAATTAGATGCTCCTATATGGCGGTTTACATTAGACAAACATTTGTGCAGGCCACGGGAGATGCCAGCTTTTGTTTGGAGAGCTCCTTGCACACACGCGCACATCCATACACACACACACGCACACACACACATATATATGTACACACACACACACAGAAATCTTGCTAGAGAAACGAGCAAGCTTGCTCATTTGTGCTTGTTTCCAGAATTTGTGTGTGTTGTGTGTCTGTCTGAACCGTAGCATGGATTTTGATAACTATGCAGATAATGAATTTTAAATCCTATCTCAGAGATGGCACATTGGTGAGAAACCCTTAAAGTTAATTTGCTTCCTGAAAATCATTAACATATTCTTAGTTATTGGCATAAAGGCTGCTCAGAATCTTCTCTGGTTGTTTTTATTTTGTGACTACAGCTTGCCAGCAACGGCGTGTGGATTCACAGCTACTGTCTGCCCTTTTCTTTTGCCGTAGAGATGTTCACTTGATAAGCATCCTGCAACTATATGCTTAATGCAAGTGCCGACATATTTCCATCAGGCCTGCCTTTTAATTTTCCGAATAAAAGGCACCCCTTCACACCCCTTCCAGTTATCAGCTCCACGATCGCTGGCCCATTCAAAGCCAACAAACCAGGTTTCAAATGGCCTGTTCTGTCTGTGACAAGATGTAGCTCATTTCCCTCACAGACCCACAGCAAGGTCACCAGTCTTTTAGATTCATTCTGTGGGAGGAAGAAAGAGAGGAGGGAAAGGGGAGGGAGCAGCAGAACAAGGCCTTGTCCTCTGCCTGGAGGTCATTCCAAAAGCCACTCATCATATTCAGCTGGATAAGGGAATTGGATAGATAAGTGTGTGTGTCTATGAGTGAGTGAGTGTGCGTGTGTGTCTGTCACACTAATACATATATTGTATAATATATATGTATATATCTGTGGATGTGTGTTTGTTTTTTGTTCTGTGAGGCTACTTTAAGCCACAGATACTATGTGAATGTCTATAGGTATTGAAATGTGCAGGTGTGTGTGTGTGTCTGTGTGTATTGTAAATCTGATGGAGAGGTACTACATCATTACCATATCCTCACCGTTGGCTATTCTAGGGGATTTTCTGTAATAAGAGGGCCTTTGTACTTTTGCCTGTCCTCTTGTGTGACTGCTGGGCTTGTCAGCCTGATAGTTTAATCAGCCAACCTGTCATAACCAGTGCTGGAGTGGGACTTTGCCCTGTAAATGCAGATTTATATCTAAGTTACATCATTGAATTACATTTTCTGTCTAAATAGCACAGAAGCTGGTTGAGGGATGTAATAATGCTAATCTACATACAGCCCTGGGTGGATAATCACATCTAATAAGTGGGACTCACGCCCCTATTAGCAGGGAAACGATGGGGGGAGGACGGAGAACAATTCAAGGAGTCAGCTGTGCTTGCTAATTATCGCTTTGCAGTCCTGATGTGTGTTTTCTGAGTACTGTTGTGACATGTGAATGCGTGGATTTAAATTCCACTGCGTTTGCAAGCAGGTCTTCTTGCCATGCAGATGTTTGTAAATCCACCAGGCTGTTTTTGATCACTGACTGTGTTTACAGAAAGTTATCTGAGGTTACACGCATTTCATGTGAAAGATGCACTTTTATCCTACTTATATTGGGTTTCCTTAAATAGGCCTACACATAATACATGTTTCTGTCTTATACTGTCCTTCGTAGTTTTGTACAAGTCACTCTGCAAAGTGCATGCTGCTCCGTAAATGCATGGTGAAACCACATTAGCTTCTTGTGTGTAAAGCCTTGTTCACAATCTTATTTTTCTTTCGCTTTTGCTCAGTATGACAGGAAGGCACGAAAGAAAAGAGAGGGAAAGTCTTTTAGTTTGAGGTCTCTGGGTTTGGGTCCAAATCCACTGTGGTTTGGCTAAATTATAAGCGTACATGCTTAATAACTAGTCTAACCAGGGCCTGCCAGAGGCTGCATCCCCAAAATAAGCCCTGACACATAAAAAATGCCATCTGCTTTGAATGATGGCAGGGCCTGGTCACAGCATCTTCTCCTTGTGTGGGTGGAGGCCCTGAGGTGACAAACTCAACACTTCTCTTCCTTAATCTGCCTGTTCCTCTGACCCCCGGCACTACCCTGTGCCGTGGCCCTCTGGGCACTATTATCCAAAACTAAGGTCTTGTGTCAGGCTGGACCCTGTAGCCATGTGTTCTCTCACCTCACATCAAAGCGTGATTAGTGACAAATAATAAGGTGAGATTTGTTGAAGTTAGAGCAAGTCATCACACATTTTTGTTTAGATTTTAGGAGTGTCTTTTTTTCAGAGGTAACCACGCTCCTCTCTGCTCCCCTAGGTGGAGCTGCTGTGAGTAGACAAAGATGTTCATCTCTCTGATGCACCCCCTCCTGCGTCTCTTTAGATAGCAGGTTGATCGTTACAGCTCAGACGGTAATCAAAACATTGTTTCAGGTAATACCTTTTTCTTTTTACACAAGTCACAAATGTTCTGCAGGAATGACTTGCATAGCAATGCACTTTTTTGCACTTAGAATAATATAAGGAGATCCTATGTAACCTTTGCTGTGAAGTTACTCTGCTTTATGTCGTTGACATTTAATTTGCACACCAGACATCATTCTACATTAATAAAAGTATGGTATGAAATGAATGAGTCATTAGGCATTTATAATTTTCCACCTTGCTTATTAAAAGTAGATCACATGCAAACGTTGACTATTAATTGCTGAACAAGTATTTCGAACAGACCTCTTTATAACTGCTGCATTTGATTCCTCATAAATAACTGATTGCTGTGTTAAATGAAGATATTTCCGCCTATACCAAAAACCATTTCCTCACATATTACCCCTCTTGTGTGGGGAAAGAGAAAAAGAGCAGGAACTGAAAACAACAGGTTATGACACTTAACACAGCCCTGTGCAGAGCCTTATTTTAAAATGACATGTTTGGGTGAAATTCACAAAGACATTATCATCATCTCCCTTAACTGTGCAATCTTGGGACTCTTGTGTGTACTGCTGGCTGTTGTTAGCCAAGCGGTTAAATGAACGTTGTTTTACCCTGATTGAACTGTCTGCACAGCACGGAGCAGTAAGGCCGTTCAGCCAGCCTATTTAGAGGGGAGGCTGAACCTGTCTCGCTGTCGCTGCACGCCAAAGTATTACCTTCCTAACTGGAGACTCCTGTTTCACCAGAGAGCTATCACATTTCATAACATGAAAAAATAACACTTTAGCAGGGGGGTCAGGTGGGGAAATGGCACCTCTAAATGAGGGTTAAGGCCATATCATTGTCTTCTCTGGCAGAGCCACCCCCGCCTCCAATAATTCTGCTGACCTTCGGTGCCATGCGGCTGGTTCGACATGGAAGGGTGAGCTGCCGGGGAGACGATCCTTTTCACGCAGCCCGTTCCCCTCAAAATGGCTTTTTCTTCTCCCAGACAATCATCTGATATGGAGGCTGAATGAAATCACAGATTACATAAGAAAGGTCCTCTCTCTGCCGCCGATAAGGGCTGCACCTGAAGTGACTGCTCTCAACGCTTTCCTCTCATCTTCTTCGTCCTCATCTTCCTTCCTCTCTATACTTATCTGCTCTTTTTTGCTCTCCACCTTTCTGTGCTCTGCACTTTTGCTTTTAAACTCAAGCTCCTGATTTCTAATACGTCAATTGCCGTATGCAGAGAAGATTAATATGTAAATGTCTGTTCGCTTTTTAATTATACGAGATTAACTGCATTGTGGTATAATGCTTGAGTGAGCTGCTGAAATGAACGTAGTCTATTGCCATTTCTCAGTAATGTAAAGTAGCGTAATGTTTATTTTTTTCTCATACCTTCTAACCTAATGTTTCCACTTTTATACCTTCTTCCTGTAATAAAAGGACATCACCAGAAAAAATATTTCCCCTTTGCGGCACATGTGGAATTGAACTAAGTATTAAATAAAGAATGATATCCATTATACATTTGAGGATGAAAAATAATACTTTATTTCCCTTGTGTACATACACTATATATGAGAAGAGAGAACAGTTCTATTGATCTTGGGTTTCATTAGGTGAAAATGCCTCCCTCGGTGTACAAGTGCAACTTTTCAAGCGCACTGGAATCTGGATAAACCTATAAGAGGGACACTCTGAAAATATATCCCCACCACCTGAGATTTTCTTCAAATTAGGCCCAAGGAATGTAAATGAAGTGGCATCTGTGATGAAGGGATTGCAATAGATTCACAGGCATCGGCAGCAATGGGGGCTGCTAGACAGAGCTTAATCAAACACATGCACACACAGGCTTTCTCTCTCTCTCTCTCTCTCACACACACACACGCACACACACACAAACACACTCGTGCTCATGCGCACAGACGTTTAATAGTGTGAAAAGTGTGGGGACAGATGGTTAGTGCCAAATTGAGGCTCATTTCAATCTGTTTTGACTCAGTGCAACAGACAGAGAGCAGAGCGCCACACTGTGGACTGGAGGGATATTGGAGTGTGTTGAATTTGGCGATCTTTTTTTAAAAGCGCTCATCAAATTGCCTTATCAATATGTAACAGCTCTTTGTCTTACAGAGGCAATCGTGAAGCTGCAGTTTAACCCTTAACACACGCGCACGCGCATTGTTATCCAGATTTGTCTCTCATTCCCAGCACTTCTCTCCATCTCGCTCTTTTTTTATTCTTACGGTTGACGCAGATATGGGGCTGGAGGGTTGAGACTAGGTTTAAATCAGCAATCAGTAATTAAACTTGAACATGGACCTGATGGTTTTCCTTCATGTCCCGGGGATCTACTCAGTAAAATTAAATATTTTAGCGCTGGGGGGTAGTGGGGGTGGATGTGTCACTAAATCCATCAGGAATGGAAATGGGCTTAGAGCTGTTGCATAGATTATCCAAATGCAGTTTTGTCTCTAGTTTTTTAATATTGTCTTGCTTTAAATTAATGTTAATAATAATCTTTAAAACGAAAATGAAAATATTACAATAGATTAGCATAGATTAAAACACACCAGTGCAATGGGTATATGACTGAGAGCTATGCGATCACAGAACCATAAGTGGGAAGTATGGATAAGAAAAATATTTGTGATACTACTGCAAGCAAAGGAACATTTTTACAATGTTGTTTGGGGGGTGGTAGCACTAGTTGTTGCAGTTTTCCTTGTTGTGATTAATCGGATATATTTACATCACAATCTTGAAAGACTTATTCATGCACAGAGTTTCTGGTATCAAGTGTTTGTGAGATAAGAGGAGGAAGCCAGGTCTTGTCAATGGCTGTACTTATCTTGAGAAGAAGTGAGAGGCAGATTGCATTTCAATCCACATGTATTATCTTAGACGCTTTGAGGTATTTTGTATAAGAGCAACTTAGCTACTTAAGAATGCTTTCAGTGTTCATCTGGGGATGCACTTCAGAAAGTTTTCTGAAAACAAACATCTGCATGGATTAAAAAATTAAAAGATTTCTTGGGAGAAGTGACCTGAATATATAATCTACAGACAATACTCCCCAACAATTTCATTTATTTACCGGCAACACAAGAGTCTGATTGGCTCCTATAAATACAAATTGTAAACTATTTTACAAAGCAATGGCAGTTGCACAGTTCCAACCCTCTTCCATATAGCTTAAGGTTTCACTTTTCTTTACTCTTTGTGTAAAAATGTTTAAATCAGGAGTTGTTATCTTAAGCAGCTCTTCCTGATTACAGAATGAGTTTGTGAAACTCTTTCCAACTTATTTAGTCTGATTTGTTTATCTCTGAGTAAAGGGGTAATTTTTCAGATAAGTATTCCCCTGTTGAAATCCTCTTTAATTCATTGGTTAAAAAGCACAAAGGAATGCAGAGGGCTCTAATGCCGGGACAAACCCGGGCGACGGCAGAGTGCACATCCAAGACAATCCCAGTGCTACCTGTGCCATGAAGATTAGACCATTGTGTGGGGGGAATGTTATCGTCTGCGTGCCAAGCTCCAACTGCACTGTAAAAGTCGCCAGTAAGGTGCTTAAGATATGCAGTTTTGTCCCTGGATTTATTGATACTGTTGCAAGAAAAAAGGTGACCTGGTATCTTGGATATAGTCTTCAGTAGAGCCCCGTTGTGGCTTTTATGCTCACATATATATTTTTACTCCTCCTCAGCAATGTTTAGGGACACTATCATATTCAGCAAAGGCCTGACACTGTTCGCTGGTAAAATTTTATCTGTATTCTACAGAGATCAAGAGCCTCAGCTCGGTGCTTTGCAAGTTGACTACTGCTGCCAGGGGAAGTGCAGGGCTCAGGGAACCATGAACATCCCTTAGCCCCCCCACCCATTTAGTCCCTGAAACTACTAAACCTCATCTGACTGCCACCAGCACTACTTCCTCGACTGAGTCATACCACAGTAAAGCTGTGTGAACTAACAAAAAAAACAAAATCGAGTTAAAAGACTTTGAGCTTACTATGTAAAAACACAGCAACCTAAAAGTAATGGCTTGCAAGACTATGAAAAAGTATTACGATCATATAACAATAGTCATATATTACAAACAAACCTTATTAAAAAGACAAATAACCATGCAATGAACATAGAGGCTTGGAGCCATCTGTGGACCACTGAGTGGACTCTAAACGCCACAGCCCCTGAGGCTGCTGGGACTGGTGAGAGCAATAAACAAATGAAGAGAATAGGAGTGGAGTGGCAGAACGCTGTGTATCAGAGCTCTGCTGTGTCGGCACTCTGATTTCGTTTGTGCTATTACATAATTAAATTTGGACTTGGATCATGCTTTTTAAGAGATTATGTGAGCATATGTTGCTTGAACATGTGCCAGCCTGTGAAATGGGCTTCCTTTCATGAGTACGGTATTAGGTTTAGAGAGTTTATTGAAAATCAGAATTAGTTTGGTGCCAGCAGTTAATGAATTGATGTTATGATCTCGGTCCAAGTGATGCTATTGCGCTATAACTTAGACTTGACATCAAAATAAAGGAGAGAGAAGCCTTCTAAACAAATATTGTAAATTAAGATTATTTTACTTTGTTCTTGTAAAGACGTTTATATACTTCAAATACAGTGTGCTACGGAAAGTGCGCTACTGGGTCTGTGCATTTATTTATCATTTGATGTTAAGTGTGTGTGTGTTATGGTTTTTCTTTATTTTTACTACTTTCTGCATTGTACATCAAATATATGAAGCAAGTTATATGGAAAGAAAAGAAAGAGCAAAGAAAAAATTGATAAATAACTCTAAATATATTTTATATTTCAGATTCCCACCCTTTTGCTTTGTTGACAGTGCTGCAAACCCTTGGCCTTCTCTCAGTGAGTTTCATGATGTTGTCACCTGAATTGGTTTCACTTCACAGGTGTGCCTTCTTAGGGTTCATTTATGGAATTTCTTGCCTTCTTAATG